GGGTAGTCGCGAGGAGGGTAGTCGCGGGCAGGTGGTGGGCCACCATATCCGCGAGGCGGACCGTAGCCTCCCGGAGGTCCATAGCCGCCATAGCCGCGCGGTGGAAGATCATCTTGAGGGAGTACGGCATCAACGTCAGCTTCGATGCGAGGTGTGGCATTGTAGCAGCGAACTCACCCTTTTTCGGAGGACCGCAGTAGCGCCCCGGAGTTGGGGTGCGAGCACGTCCTCGACGAGCCTAAAATATAACGCGTTCCTGTGTCAGACACCCGCGCATTCCATTTTGCGCTGCTGACGCGCAACTTACCTTTGCTACCGTGATCGAGCGTCCGAGAATCTCGACACCATTCGCGCCCTCGACCGCAGCCTCGGCATCCGTGTTGTTGTCAAACGTCACAAAAGCAAAGCCACGAGGCTCGCGTGTGTGGGGATCATACATCACCTGAACCTTATTCAGCTACAAGCAAGGAGTAGGGCAGTCAGTCGTGATAGGACAACATGCCGATACGAACCAACAAAAAAAAACATTGACGTACCTTTCCATACTTGGCAAAGACGTCCTCGAGATCCTGCTCCGTCGTCTTCAGGCTTAAACCAGAGATGTGCAGGTTGTTGCCCGGATTCGGGTTGTCGCTGCCAGGTGCAGGGCTGCAGTAAGGAAGTTCATCAGCATACAGGCGACGTAAGATAGTGTATGCTGTGCGCTTCAGACTCACCGGCCACGGAAAGAGTCGCCACGGGGTGGGCTACGCTCACGGCGGAACTCGCGATCGTCGTTGCGCGCTGGGCTGCGCTCGCGACGGGGAGGCGTCGCACCACGAGGAGAAGCGCTTCGACGAGGGGCGTAGTCGTCGCGTGCTGCGTCACGAGCTGCATCGTTCCAATCTGCCGAGGGATGGTGAATCAGAGCGCATTGTGGTTAGTCTGTGCACTTACTTTGGAGGAAAGTCGCAGAGGTGATGATCGGTCGCGAAGGCGGAATCGCGAAGGCACGAGAGACACCGGACATTGCAGGGCAGAAGCGAGCGCCCAAGCGAGTGGAGTGGGGTCATTGTGACGTCTTGAGAAGCAGTGCGCAAAGACAGCAGTCGAAGTCGAACTACACGAGGTAGCCGGAGCCCGAGGGGAGGCAGAAGTGACGTGCGTTGGCCATGCTGTCCATGACATGCGACGAAAACTCGAATCATCGCAAGGAAATGTTGCGGTCCAGCCCCAGAAAGCGAATTGAGACAGGTGCTGCTGAGCGAAGCCACAGCTAGCAATGAAGCTTCTCGTGAGTCGAGCTGATGTCGACCCAAAGATTGGCGATCACATGACGAGTACATAGGCGATAAGGACCTAGATCCCGCATACATGTACTGCAAGCTCAGCATCCAGCCTGAGGTCTGCTGCTCTCAGTCGCCGACCTGGTCGAATTCCCTTGACAGGGATCGGATAGCAACGCTGGACAGCCTCACCCAGGCTGAGAGGCTCGGCGGGACTGACACAGAAATCGAAGCAGAGACCGAAAGATTCAAACGCACCGTCGTTGTCGGCCATGTTGTAAGCTGTAGGTGAAGCCGGATGCAGATGAAGGGTTGTAGATGATGATGGGCAATGAGAATAAGGTGCTTGTGGTGGAGATCAATGATCAGACTTCAGCTCACGCAGTGTGAGTGGATGCACCCAGCATGCATCACCCCAGCCGCGGCTGTAATACCTG